ATTTTTTTAGTAATTTTTTGACTTTTTGACTAAAAAAGTCACTTATCAAACGAGCCTATAATTAAGAAAATAAAATATAAATATATTCCAATTCAGTTCTAATTGGTAGCTTGAAAAGAAGACGGCTTGAATGGCCCGAGTCCAAAACGACGTCGTTTTGGAATTTTTTTTTTTCTTCCTCTTTTCTCTTTGAAGATGAAGAACACAAAGAGAAGAGGAAGCTGGTTCATCAACAACAACACATCATCTTCATCAACAACAACACCTTCATCAGCACATCATCATCATCAACATCTTCATCAACCTCATCATCATCAACAACAACATTTTCATCATCAACAACAACATCTTCATCAACATCATTATCATCATCAACATCTATCGATTTTGTAAAATCCATATCCATCTATTTCGATGTAATCGATCGATTTCAAACCCTGAAAAAAGAATAAGATGAAGAAGAAGAAGAAGAAACTCAGTGAAGTCTCTAGTGGAGCTCTTTCTCTTCTCTCTCTTTCTTCTCTCTTCCTCTATTTTCTCTCTCTTTCTCTCCCTCTCTCTTCGTCCCTCTATTTTGTCCCTGTTTTAGAGATTTAATAGGAAAAAAAAAACACTGCCCAAAACGACGTCTTTGGGCAGTCGGACCATTCGAGCCGAAAGATTTTTGAGCTACAAATCATTTTTCATTCTAGTTACATTACACACGCATTTCTCTTTCCCCTCTTAAAATTTTCCCAAATTCATAAACCAAAATTTTCTCAACATTTTTCTTTTTTCTCGCCAAATCAGTCTATACAAACGGAGTGTAAGACCTATTTACATCTCTTGATCATTCACTTACATCTTCCACACCACCTACAACAACCATGAGTCCAGCCATCATCTTCCTCACCACTTACCCCCTACAATCTCTCTCTCTCTCCCTCTCTCTTCCATTTCATCACTTCAACCCCAGAGCTAATAATGCTTGCAAGATTGGGCTAGGGTTTTGGGGTTACATGTGGTCTAGTCACCAGAACCAAAGCCAACACCCCCAAACTTAGGTATAATTTTTCTCAATCTCCCTTTAATTGCTGAGAAATATCTTAAAAAAAGAAAGAAAAAAATGAAATTATTAATCTTCTGCTTAATCTTGTTTTCCATTCTTAGTGAGTGATGACGACAAGCTTGGCTATTGCTGTAATGTCATTGGAAATTTGGGTGTGAAGAACTAATGTTCCATTCCCATGATAAAATTAAAATCTTTATTGATGAGGTAGCACAACAAACACCCTTTAGTCTTGAACGAAGTTGCCTACCTTCAGTAGTTTCACATGTCTTGAATATGGAGTTGGGTGTCTGCGTAAAGTTGATTATAAACCAAATCAAGCCAAGTCTTAAGTCCCATCAAATGGGGTCGGCTGCCTAAAGTTGATTATGCCAGAGACTTATTTATTTATCACAAAATTGATTATGTTAGAGGCTTTTTTATTAGTGACATCTTGTGGGTTTGGTTGATGGTTGTGGTTCAATGTTGTAGTGGTGGTAATGCTAGGGGAATGGGGACATGGGAAGGAGGGGGTGGCGGCTAGGGAAGGGGGAATGTAGCAGCTGGTAGTTGTTTGTTGTGATCATTGGTTGATTGGTAGTGGTTGTTTCGATGGCAATGGAAAGGGGTTTTAGAGGTGATCATGTGCATAGAGATGTGGTAGTCGATGGTGTTGGTGGCTAGTTGATGGGTGGCAGATGTTTTAGGCTTGTTGGTGGGTGGTGGAGGAGAGGTAGGATGGTGGTAGTGCGTAGTTGTTGGCTAAGGAAGAAGGGGTGGTCGATGGCCAAGAAGAATGTGGGGGTGGTCAGCCATGGAGGAGGTGTGCGGTCATTGGCTAACAAAAGGATGAGATGGTTGACCATAAGGTGGGTAGTTGCTGGACAATGAGGAGAGGCTAGTTGGCCATGGATGAGGAAGGGGTGGTTGTGGCTGTGGGGTGAGGAAGAGTGAGAGGAAGGAATGATTTGGTGTGGCAAAGACATGGATAGACAAGATGAACATTTTTTATTTGTTAAGATAAAGAGATTAAGGTGAGAAAATGACTGTTATGCCCTTGCAAATTGGTCACTTACATGCATGGGACCATTTTCCGTTGAGAATTTGATTGCCTGCTATTAATTGTCCTTAATTGATACAACATGGAAAAAATTGGAGGACAAATTGAAATAATAGGGAATATATTGAAGCATGGGTTACACTACATAGACTACTAGTGAAATTTACCCATGAAAAATAAAAATAAAAATTCATCTACTAAGGATTCAGTCAGAGAATGAAACAACACCTGCAAAAATAAAAAAATAAAAAATGGAGCAAGAAACAGAAAATTCAATACCAACAAACAAGAGAATGAAATCATCTACTGCAAATTCAGTTAGAATAAAACGACTTCACCCCGAAAGCATCCCTTATTTCAATTAACTCCACCAATTCTCCACTTTTTGGCTTAATATCTTCTTTCTTCTTTTATGTATACAATATACGTGTATTCTTATTTATTTTATTGTATTTACTTATTTATTTATTTGTGCTAATGATGAAAAAGATGTTGAATGATCTGCTTCTAAATACTATGTTTTGTAGTCTCCACATTATGATTATGAAAACGGGTTCATTATTTCAAATTGATTTAACAATTTAATTAAAGTTTTGAATTGAAAAGACATCTGGGGATGACTATTTGTTTTTGTTGTTGAGCAGGTATTCCATCTATGGTTATTGTTTCAAAAACTGCTGGTGACGTGGAAGACCCGCGTGAGAGTCTACATGATCTCTCTAAATCAAGGAATTGGGACTTTGTTATCCAAATTAATGCCAGGTATTATTATTTTTTGGATAAGCAATAAATTTTGTAGAGAAAAGAAACATGATAGAGCAAAAGTGTCGTGGATAATTGAACAAAACGCATGATATCAGACTACGGAACAAAAATGGCTATGATCCTGATATGAATCATTGCCGACTTTGCTTTCTGTTGTTTGTCATCAGTCCTCACTAGAAATTAAAGAAAAATCCACTAGACAATTGATGGTTTGCCTAGCTTATCATTTTACTAAATGTATATCAAGTAATTATTATTATTTAATGCTTCTTTGTTGTCTTCTTTTTTTCTCATTAAGCTTGTGCTTGGTTTAAACCAATTAATGATGCAAAGCAAAAGCATGTGCTTGCAAGAGAGCTAACAAAAAGGCTAATAGAAAAAGACAATGGTTGGATTGATTACATAAATTGTGAAATTTACATATGTATGCAGTCCACTGTTTTGGAGATGCCACTTCATCACCGAAGCAGAAGAAGAAATGAGATGGTAGAGGAAACACATGCATCAATGAGATGGTAGAGGAAATCCTTGAAAAATTCCCTAATGTTGCGACTACATTTGATGAGAATGGAAGAAATATACTACACATAGCAGCACAGCTGAAAGATAGAATTCTCTATGACCACTTGAAGAAGACTGTTAATCACACAGATAGAATGATGGCCGATGTTGATAATCATTGGGAACACTATTTTGTATCTTGCAGCCTACAAGTACAAAAAAGATCATTTTCCTTGAGATCCTTTCGGACCTGTAAACCGAATGACATGGGATGTGTTTTGGGTACTCTCCCTGGGCTATATATATATTAACTTGCAATACTAGCAATAGCTAGCTAGTAGTAGAGATCCAAGGATCCTCTACCATAATTTTTCTACAATGATTTTGTGCTTTTAATTATAGCAAAATACATACCCTAACAACTTGAGTTCAAAATTAAAGTAAAATGACATTATATCATATTTTTTTAAACCACACACCCTAAATTTTAAACATAAACCATTAGATTAGTACAACAAGATTATTACAGAGAGGCTTATGACACAGGATCCTGATCCAGTAGTAGATATGCATTGGATAATAATAATAATAGTAGTAGTGCAGGTAGTAGTGGTGGTGTGGTAACACAAAGGGTTAATTACATTATAACCCTCTCTGTCAATTATTATTTGCCTCTTGTTTATGAACTTGTATATTTTGATCGTCTCAACTACAAAAATGCATGTCACTTTTAGCCCCTCCAAAAGAGGAGACAGTTGTATGATTTGTTATAACTGATGAGATAAAAATATATTAGTTCATAGATAAGAGATCAAAGTAATATTCGTTAATAGTTGAAAAGGTCTTGTTATAATTAACCTTGAGATAAGTTACAATCTAAAGCATTAATGCTAGAAACTCTTCAATTCTTTTTTAATATTGCCCTCTTGCTCGGTTTCCTTGGATTTCCACTGCGTGTACAGAGCGACTGTCATCCACATTTGATACATCATCGAAACATTGATTGGAAGATAGCAAAAGAAGTATTTGAGGAAGAGTACAGGACATGACGAAGGAAACTAAGAAAGCAATCAAAGATATTAATAGTAGCTTGACATGATTGTTTCCACTATAATTGGCACCGTCAATTACGCTGCACTTTTTACTATCCCTGGTGGTTTCGATCAAGAAAATGGCCTACCAAATTTTTTCACAAAAGCAATAAATGGACAACGAGATCTGCAGTTGTTCATGTCTTGCATTGGAGGAAGTTTGGTTGCTTCTTTATCGGGTTTGGAACTCAACTTTTAGTGCAATTGTCATGGTTCAATAGCAACGATTTTCAAATTTTTTATTGCAACCACGTCCTTGTTCTATGCCACTTGCTTCTCACGTTCTTATTCTAATTTTTCATTATAAAGGATGCATTCATAAATTCATATTTCGGGGTGATGTGGCTTGCCTGTATACTTATGACCCTTGTTTACACAGATGCATTATACTTGACCTACGATTACTACTACATAATTCGCTATTCACTTGCTTATAGAAGCCAAAAAATGTAAAATCTGCACTTGTTTGGTACTTGTTTTAAGCCATGTTTGAATTTTTGTGTGACAACATTATAAGTCGTTGCGTTCTCAAAAAAAAAAAAAAAAACACTATGAGTTGTTCAATCTCCAGCTTTTCGGTCTTTCAAGTTTCAAGTGCCTTTGTCATGTTTGCCTTTTGACAAATGATGAACAAGATGATTTCGAGTTGCTTATTGAAGATAAAAGTTACAATTGCTTACACATGCTTCATATTAATTACAATAACATATCACCACCCTTCTTTTTGAGTTGAAGAATGCATTCATATGCTTCATATTTCTCTCTATTTATATCTTCCAGTTTATTCTGCAGAGAACTGATATTACTTTCTATAGCCTTTAATTCTCGCTTTTGACGTTGAATGTTTACGGTGTGTTTTCGATCTTCCTTCTGCAGTCTTTCCAATTCATTGCGTATAAACTACAATAAGAACAAATATATATATATACATGTGAGACTTTTTCATAAAACTCAAGCCATTTTAAAATAAAATTTCCATAACTCAAATAGTTTCTAACTTATTTTCTGACCTTAAGTTATTTTGTAATGCCTTTTAAAAATAAAACAACCCTTCACAAAAATATCTTACCCGAATATAACCCTGAATATCTTTTATGGAGCCCAAATAGTATCGAATCTGTGCAGCTCCTGAAGCATGATTAACATTATTATTAGTACTATTATTATTAAGTTTAATATTATCCATTTTTGCTTCATTCTGTTTTATCTCTCTAAGAAGCTTCTTCTCCTCTGCAAGACTCTTACTGCCGTGTTGCATCTTATAGTTCAAACTCTTTACCTGCAATTCATAATTCCACATTATTTATTGTCTTTGTAATTATTCCTTTTTAAATTCAAAACAAATTTACTTAAAATTGCCAATGATTTTCTTAATCTTTTTTATTACTGTTTGGAATATAATTTCTTAGTTTATATGCTATAATTAGCTCAATTACAACTATAACAAACTAGATTTTAGCAGTGAACATGGGTTCAAGTTCGGCTTGGGTGGGTTTGGGCCAGGCCCGTTTTACATAATCATACTTGAAATCATTTCTTAAATTGGATCACCTTGAGATTGGGCCTATATTTTATTTTCAAGTTTGTTCAAAAATGAAATAAAAATCACAAGTTGCCACATGGTCCGGACATTATTTAATATAAATATTATTTTCATATTTTAAAATAAAATTATAATTAATTTAATCTTTTGGGTACATATAAATATACATATTTATAAAAATATATTGCATAATATAAAATTTAGGATAAACTACCAATAAGTTCTAATAGTTAGACTTAATTCTCATCAAGTCCTATTAAAAATAATTTCAAGTAAAATCGGTGTTAAAAATAATTTTTTATGGCATTTTTTTTTTGTTTTTAAAAATTGACAATTTAGTTTTTTTTATATAAATTGTCACTAAAACTTACAATTAGTGACCTTTTTCTATGACGAATTTTTCAAACTGTCGTTGAAAGTTAAAAATTAATGATTTTTTGTGATAATTTTTTAACCGTCGTTAAAAATTAACAATTAGTAATATTTTTTAATAGTATTTAATTAGAAATATAATTAATTATCATAAGACTTATTAGATAATATGTTGTCCTTAAAGTTCACTAAACCCAGTGTTTCGTTATTATAATAGAATGTATGACATTGATGATAAACTCCCATTAAGCCAATCATAGTAATAGTGCTTATGTATTGTTGTTATTTTATTAATATAAAAAAAAAAAATCACCTTAATAGAAAAATGTATCACATACCTTGTCTGTACTAAAATAATTTCACCAAACATAGACGTTACAACGATTAGACATGCATTGATTGATACTAATCAACTAATCTCCATAGCTTTCGGAGCCACCACATCAATAATGGCTATAAAAAACATATGCAAAGTACCACGTACACTTCCCTCACATCCCTCAATGACTAACATAGTGTTTAAAAAGTATGCAATTTATTTTATTTTAATATCCCATATTTTAATTATATCGATTTAGTTATTAAATTATTAGGTGCTTGATTCAAAAGTTCAAATTTAAATTTCTTTCATTTAAAAATTCTAATACGAAATTATTATGTTCATAAGGACATACTTTTGCACAATGACTAAACTATCCTTATATATTTATATTACTCATTTATACGGACCTAGACAGACGATAGTCCCCCTCTCTCTCTCTCTCTCTCTCTCTCTTCATCTATCCCGTTGAAGCAATCGATCGCTTCCATTACCTCTATTGCCTCTGCCTCCGTCGCCGATTGTTTCACCGCTACTAAGTTGATCGCTTCACCGGTGCGATGGTGGTTTTTGATGCGATGATGGTGTAAGAAGATGAACCTTGGGTTGATGATGAGGCTATGCTAGGGATTGCATAAGCACCTGAATTGGAGGGACTTCACGGGGACTTTCACTTCCCCCTTCTCTCTCTTCTTTATCTCCATCTTTTTGTTCCTCTATCTCTTTGTTTTGGATATATATTTTTTAGATTTGAACTCAGATCTACATTAGATTTGTTGTTCTTCGAGGTTTTTTTTTTTTAATTATTAATTATTTTTTATATTTGAACTCAGATCTGTTAGATTTGGTTGGTGGGTGTGTTCGATTTGTGTTTTGTTTATGTTTTGAGATTGATGATGGCCTACAGTTGATCTGTTTTTGTGTTTGTTTAAACAAATACGGTTTTCTTTTGTGTTTTGTTTGAACACATAATGCTCAGGTTGAACACATAAGAACGTATATATTTTTTCCTCTACCATCATGTTCATGTTCATGTTGGATTCGGATATGTGTTTGGATTTCAATCCATTTTTGTTTGAATAGATAAGAACACATATTGCTTCTTTAGTTTGGTAAGAGCAAAACAAGTATAGATTTATTCCAAAAAAAATATTTTACACAGATAAGGAATTAATTGTAATTCAGTTGTTTGGTGTGACAATGGTTAGGTTTTCATTCAAAAAAATGAATAGATAAAAATAGATTTCTACATATAAGAAAAATTAGCACAATAATTTCAACAGATAAGAAAAATTAACACAAGAATTTCAACAGATAGGAAAAATTAGAGAGAGAAACCGACATAATTTGAACAGATAGAGAGAGAAATCCACAGAATTTGAACAGATAGGGAGAAAATTGAACAGATAAGGAAAAAATTCAACATATATATATATATATATATAAATTTGAATAGATAGTCAAATTTTTTTTTGAATAGATAGAAAATAATTTGAACAGATAGATATGAATTTGAACAGATAGTCAAAAAAAGCCAACAGATAAATTAATAGGTAGAATTCAAAACAAATTTTGTTCAAAACATACAAAAGGACTTCTTACCAAACTATTTGGTAGGCTCTGACAATATATATATATATATATTTTGTAATTAACCCTATTAAATCATCTCGGTCTGAATATACCAATTCACATGTTACCAACCTGTTCTATAGAGAACCCAGTCAC